TACCCAAAACTTTACGAGTATTTTTTTTTTTTACCAACCACGTATTACTAATTAAACTAGGGACTGCTATATTTATGGCTTATTGTATTCATTGTTGTATAATATACTACAATGATTTATATTATATTCAGGGTTTAGAACTTATAGTACTTAAAACACAATAAGCGCTAAAATATGCACGGAAAAAATGGTAAAATACGCGTAAAAAATCTAAAAATATGCATTTAATATATTTATTATTAATAATTATTGATTACTAATAACTACAATAAAAGTTTAAAAATAACAAATAAATATTAAATTGTTTAAAAAATTTCTTGAAATAAGTATCTTCCCCGTTTTTTTGAATTTATTTCGAAATAATTTTTCTTTTTTATTATGAAAAAAATGTAACATTTACAATAAGCAAATTTTCAAAACAATAACATAGAATATAACAAACATAAACACATAATAAAGGAGACCATCCAGTGATAGAACCCTTTATTAAATATATTTTTGGGTTGAGTGCGTAGATCAGAATATGACGGCATAAGCGTCTTTTGAGACGACGTGGAGAGTCCTTCGGAAGTGTAAAAGAGTATTGATCTAAAACGATTGAGTTGGAATAGAGAGATAATCTGGAGTGGAATTTATTATAGTATAGTATGATATGGTCAAGTTATCGACTGTCTCAATATTTAGATCCTTATGAAGATAGTGATTGCTGACGAACCAAGGAGCAGAAGTTATTGGATGTAGGCAGATTGATTAGAATGATTGGATATTTTTTTATTTAGGTTGACTTGACATAACTTTAGGTGGATCCAGGGGAGGGCCACTAGAAGCAAGTGCTACCTCCGTTGAAAAAATATAATATTAAAAATAAACTATATTTAGAAGAACAATAAATAATACATTTTAAAAATAAATATTGACAGTTTTAGTAAAATATTGTCACATTATTTCTTGGGGAGTGAATGCCCCCCAAGACACTCCTACATACGTCAGTGATGAGCTATATTGTATTATTATTCTTATAAAGTGCTCCAACCGTAAATAGATGCTGGATCCACCCTTGGGCACAACCTCAAATTTAGCATCATATGCCCAAACGAGTCTTAATCATAGATTTATAAATTAATAATTTATAATTTAGTAGAAGTATAGATATGAGTATTGGACGCAATAGGTGTAGTCTCGATTTATAATTAAATTATTAAATATCCTTACTACTGTCGATCGCCGGCCATTCGAACTATGTTTATCGGGGATCCTTTAGTTTGACATGAACGTTTTATAATTACCTTTGACAATACGGCTGATACAGGCCATCGTATTTTATAAGAATAAAGTTATATTTCAAACACAAAAATTATAACAAGCTGTAAGTTGTATTCTTTAAATAGGTACGATTGAATCGATATTTTATTTTTTCGATCGGTTGAAATTTGTAAAATTTTAATTTTTAAATTTGAATAATTTGTCAAAATATGTGAAATAAGCAGCAAAAAAAAAAAAACAAATTGTACAAATTAGCACTTTCCTGCAAAGTTTATGAAATGTACAAAAATTATTGCAAATAGATTTGAAATCGTATGTATAGATTATGTCTATTATATCTATAATCTATACCTAAATATACCTATCCAGCGATTCAAGAGACTGGTACAATCTTAAAAAAATTATACGTACAATGTGATACAACATCAAATAAATCACAGGTAAGGTTGACTATTTTATCAGAGTAGTATTTACAAGTAATATTAAGCAATGTTTAGACATAATTTATTGAGATTTCGTATTTAATGCAAACATTTGTTATTTATTAGTAATTAATACTTAATTGTCTGATTTTTACTCAAAACCGTTGTATTTTGAAAACGGAAAACGGAGATGAGTATTTTGGACAGGAATACACAGACTAGCTACACGAGAAGATTTATTCATTAAAAAGAAAATATAATTATAACAAATACACTAACAGCAGGTGAAGACGGCGTTTTGTGCCGCGATTCTTGGTAAATATTCCCACATGCACGAAATACCCATCTTTGCATAACTAACTGTATTCTCTGGGTTATCATTTTTTCTTATTATTTTAATTCTTGTTTTAATGTTTTTATAAGCTCATAATGGTCGTTTCTTGTTGATATTTTCATATAAAAGTGATAGATTCAGATCTACTAAAAAATTACGCCCTAGACAGCTGTTTTGTTCATCTCTTTCGAAAAACGCCTTTACAATAAATTATACGAATGGTAATTGATAAAAATGCATTATTTATTTAATTTTCTCATTTTTAAATAGAAGCCGGATGTTTATTAATTTACATATATCTTGTGGAAGGTTAGACTAATCATTGATTCATTAACACTGAATTTAAATTAGAAAATTTAAGTAACACGTTATATCCGCCTCTTTTGACGTTACTTAGCATACAAACTACTTTTAATTTACATAACATTAAACTAGTAAACCCATCAATAATGTGTTTTATTGGTTCAATCATTTCCTTTTGATATTTATGTTTTATTTTCCCAAAATAGATTACCCGTTTTATATATTATTATGAATAATATTATTTCAAGTTTTTAATCAGTTGTACAATAACTAAACGTCAATTATAGCCTATGTAGTTGCGCAAATATTCATTGGAACTATAATACTAAGCACAATAATACATTAGAACGTTGATTAGGTATATAATAATATTTTCAATATTTGTTTAAATAATCCATGTCTCAAATCAATAACACTTTGCGAACGTGATAACAATTTAAGTCAATAGATTTAAACAGACAGTAGAAACGGGCGTATACCGTTTGAGCAAATCGATTCAAAATATAGTCTGTTTGGGCGATTAGTTACATATCGTTTGAGTAAAATGTAAAACAATTGTTTTGTGTAACGTTTTTTACAATTCGTATGAGTACTTTTTATAGAAATTGGTATTGTTTCATCGGTTGGATCTTACACTAAGTAATGCAGTTTTCCGCACGGACTTACCTTAAGTAGGAAAATAATTGTTTGTTTGATCGTTTGATTAATACAGAATATATACCCATAAAATAATTAATAAAAAAATACACAAATATAAATTATGTTCAAGTGAGGGTTGAAATACCACCAAACGATTACCAAATGTTTGATAGATATGCATATTTCTCTTCTTATAGTCGTTAAAATATATTTAAAATTTCTAAATCCATGAGAAATATTGAAATAAATGTTTAAAATGAACGGTCAATTAATTAATTTTTTTCACGAACGACGAACCAGGCAGTGCTATAAAGCGTTATGATGAAAAATTTGTACAATATATATCTGTAATCTTGTTTTTGATAATAATGGTTAATAATTATTAGTGACGATATCGTCAATGTCAAGTCCGAAAACCGTCATCAGGTCCTTACCTCATACGAGTAAAAATAATTTCACTCACTCAAACAGTATAAATAATATTTGCCCGAAAGGACTATTTATTTTTCTGTCAAAATGATAACCTTCGCCCGAACGACCATCGCCCGCAGAAATTCATCCTAAACCAACAATAAAACTTATTAATAATCAGAAAAATGTTTTCAATTTTTATAAAATAAATTTGTTGTTTAACTATATTTGAACACGGGCATTTTATAGTGTTATTCATAGTGTATTTTACTTTAAATCGCTGTATAAAAATATGATAAAATAAGTACACAACAATACATCAGAGTTAATACTAAGATATAATAGCCATTACGTTTCAAAAGCTTTATTTTTTTATATAATTTCTGAAACGCTAATATTTGCATTGTAGTCTTATGGTTAAATTTTAAAGAAAAAAATATGCTTGAATAAAATGTATTATAATAAGTATATATTTCTGTATCGTATATTTAATAATTTAATAATAATAATAAAAACTTTATCTTCATCAAAACGCACTTTGGTTTATAATAATGAAAAGATTATTGTTTTTTTTTTATATTTTTGAAATTTAGGTATTAATATTATAATAAAGAATTAGACTTGTTCTGAAAAAATATCAGAGAAATTTTACAATGCACCATTGTGTACTTGAGAGAATTAAACATATTTTTTTTTTATGTAATATTTTATTATTTGACATTTTTTGAACAAGAGAACAACGATTTACTGTTCGAAGCAAGGATTCGTAAATAAAATCGTTGCATATACAATTTGTGGCCTTAAAAATACATGATGAAACTTAAATTATGTGTATACAGTTATGAAAAATCTTCTTTGAATAACTGCAGTTACACACATTTAATTGCTTTCGAACGATGCGGAATTTTTAATGACATCGTAAAAACTAACGATAAATTTTACAATGCGTTTCGGTTTTTCACGGTGCAGCGATAAAGAGAGCTCTAAGAGTAGTCACGTGCAGCGAAACCTAAATGAAACGCGGGAAAAATGATATCCTTGCCAGAAAGTCCGTGTAAAAGCGCTCGTTTCCAACGAAAACTCATCCGTTGTAGGACGAGCCGACAACGGCACCCGGAACCCTCACCCAGGACGCGGACTTGGTAGGTCTTAGCAGGGCCGGGCGCTTCGAACGTTTGTCCTGCGCTCTCGAAACACCGGTGCCGAGCACCGGAATCCCTTCTCGTCACCCGTACGGCGTTGTTAACGGTTCACTGGGATCGCGGGAAATACCAGGACACGTTATCCGACGGGGCTGCCGTGAACCCCGTTTTACGAAACCGCGTTGTGAGCGGTTGACAGAGTGTTAACAGAGAGCGCGTACAGAGGAGCTCGGCGCACGAACAGAAAGAGAAGGGAAAAACGATTTGAAAACCACGTTCGTTCAAAGGATCACTGTGGACGCGGGCTACGCGCGGTTACCAGCGAAAAACGAACCGTGTTCGTGCACCGGCCGACCGTTAACCCGTCGTCGATCGGTCTCGGGCGACGGAAGAAACCGGTCCGCGCGGCACCCGCAGGCGCTTAGTAGATATATAAGTAAGGCAGGTGAGCTCGGTTAAACGTGTGCGCGTGTGTGCGTTTGTAAGCAAGTGCGTGCGCGCGCGTGTGTGCGCGCGCTCGCGCGTATATATATACGTATTATCACGTTGCGCACAGGTCGTCGGCGTGTCGCAACTATTATTACTACCGTTGTATTCGAACGTTTGCGTGTCGATTCGCTCGAGTCGAAGCAGCAGCGTTCACGCGCGTACACGCAGCACACCGGTTCGTCGATCGATCACCGGGACCGCCGATCGCGTCGCCACAACCGTCGTCGGTTCTGCTCGCAACCGCGTGAACAACCGTCAGTCGTCGTCGAGTTTGCACGCGGCCAGAGACCAGTGGTGGATCTCGGGCGAGCGACGGAAATAAATACGTTTCGAATTCGACCGTCGAACGCCGTCGGGTCCGTTCAGCAGCCGGGACGGGTACGGGACGGAAACAAACGCGTATTACTACGTTTGGACAATCGCCCGCGGAGACGACGTGCGATGGAAGTCGACGCCGAAGGGCCCGTACTGAGAATGGGATCCGGATACGCGCTCCGGTTCGAGGACGATTCGGATTTCGAGGAAGCGTTCTTGGAGCGCGCGAAAAACGACTTGGGCGAGACGCCGGAGCGGCGGGCCGAAGGTCTCGAGGAACTCCGCAGGCTCATCAGAGGTAATACGTAACGGTACACAAGCGTTGGCGAAACGTCGACTTTGCTACGGAGACCGTACAACGGTACAACGGGAATGGGTTCTCGTCGGCCGGTCGGTAAGTTGAAACGCCTAGTGCGCAACAGCATCAACTGCCGGCCGGTCACCCATCCGAGGGCTCCGGACGCGGTTTAACCGCGACGGCGGGATATATAGCTGGCACCCGCTTTGTGCCGCTCGCATTACGAATTACTGTTCGACGCGTGGAATCCGATCACGCGCGATTTTTCCTCCCCTCGCAGTTCCAACATAATAGTATATAATACTCGTACGAGCGACGATATCGTGTACGAGATCCGCGACGATTACGAAATATAATAATAAGTTCGAGTCTGAGAAGAATTTTTCTTTCTCGCCTTCTAATCCTATTAAAATAAATTGGCGTTCTCGGCGAGCGCGACCTTATGGCATCCCGTGTAAGAGTATGCGTTCTAGAACGAATAATATACGCGCGCTTTTACATTCGTTTAACGAACCTGTATCGAGTAAGAAAAAACTTTAAAACGACATATACTTATAATGATAATAATAATAATAATAATGATACAATTTATATTCTAAAAACCTTTGGATATTTCGCACGAGTTTATTTTAATTTTTTTTTTATTTCGTCTAAAACTTTGTCGAAACATTTTTTTTTTTCAACAGTTCTTCTAAGGACACACTACAGTTCACATACAAATATATCACGAGCACCTATATATAATACATTCACACACACACACACACCACAAGAGAACGAATGGTGTTATATATTTATAATATATTATACATGTTTATAAAATTAATTAATTACATTTCGCGCAGGTTTTTAAGTGCGCGAGTAGAACAGTGTCTTAACAACTCTATTAGAATTCATGCCTCGTATACATTTTCTTCAAATGGTAATTCGTATGATTATTAGTATGACGTTTTCGTTTGGGTAAATGTACAAACACACTTTCAACAAGTTTTCAACAACAGTCCATTAAATGTGTATCAAAAGAAAACGCGTTGTATCGGTATGCGTACATACACATATACTCGTACGTACAAGCACACGCACACACACACACCTAATTACGAACAGTGTATAATGTTTCGTGAAGTCTTAATAATAAAGAAGTACAAATTAATTCCGTTTGTTTGTGCGATACAGAACGACTCAACGGCTAATGCTAATTTCAAATATCGTCCGCACGCACAAATGTAATAATTATAATAATACCATCGCAATAGATGTACGCGCAGTCAAGCGTTTCTTGCAGAACGAGCTCGCGACTCGTCAATAATATATTTGTAGTAATCCTAATTACACCTGTATTTTTTGATTTTGTCGCAACAATATAAATATTATTATTGTTAGTTATTACTGTTATTCGAATAAGGTCTTCGACTCCACTTCGTATGTGTTATTTAATGATTTACACACGCGCACGCACACACAGACCCACACACCCACGGTCCAAAGCGATTTCGATTGGCTTTAATTACTTACGCGTACAACCGTATCTTTACATATAGATGTTGGGTGTTCAAACGAAATCCTTCGCAGTTTTCCTACGGTGTTTATAAATAATCCGATGTATAAATATTATACGTGTCAGACGAGTTCTTATTACTCGAACGCGAAAACTTTTCGCGAATCACGCGACCAGAAACGATTGTGTGAATTATTCAATGCGAAAACCGGGACGTTATAAATAATTTAGCGAGCGTATTACTTTTAACAGTCACCGATGTTCGAACGCCCCTGTTCGGAGGCGGCGCGCGGCTGTGCGCACAGATCCCGTGACGATATTGTTTTCTTTTTGGATATTTGTATATTTGAAATTGTTTGATTATCTTTTAAAAAGCGGTGTGTACGGAATAATAGAAATAAAAATGATAATTACACCCCGTCGCAGCCGCGGGGCGAATTTACATTTCGCCATTTTGTTCTCTGCGAACAAGACCATCGTCGTCGGGACGTGACTTACATACGATAGCGGCGGCGGCGGCAGTTGAACTTAGTATTCCGGACTGTTAATGTCGTCGCGATGTAATGTACACTTGACCTTTGTCACGGTTACCTATTTTCGTTCTTCGATTTCCGTATCTGAGCTATTATACGGTCGTTACGTTCGCGTTTTATGCTCTTCGAATTAATTACTATCGAATTCGCAGCACTACCTACATGGACGCGTCGAAACGCACACGTAATATTGTAAGCCGCGGATTAACTTTACGGTCGTCAATAATTCATGTACCGTACGAAATAGGAGAGAATAAAACAAAAAAAAAAAAAATAAAATAAAATAAAATAAAAATAAAACCGCGGGTCACGGCGAATTTACATCATCGGTGCCACACAGGTACTTATGGGTCGTCGGCCAAGTCCACTCGTAACTGCACTCGTCGCGTGCAACGTGTCAATGCACTTGGACCTTTCGTGTGCTGGTCGTTCCTTGTTTCCGGACCGCGGTCGACAGGTATTGACAAAAAATCCCTGCAGTGTAATACACATGCAAATAATATCTGGTACGGTCGACCATAACGTCCGCCAACGGCCGTGGTGCGGGACCCGCCACTTGTCTTTAGAGTGCACGCAACACTTGAACCCGTCAAACGAATCGACCGTCGCGACCGTAACATTACACGCGGCGTTGTATATTTTTAATTTAATTTTTATTATTCCACAGCTTTCCCGACGTTAAATCATCTAAACTCAGGTACATAGATTTAGACATTCGCGTATCATATATCATTGGTCGACTAGTAAAGGCACTAGGTTTAAATTAACAATTTACATTTACAGAGTGCAATAATACGTTTATACATAATACAATTAGGCTAAACAATATTTACAAAATAAATTAACTTATTAATAAACTACAATTATGAGTAAAGTCGACTAGTTTAAAACGTCGTAGGGACGATCGCGTTGGAGTCTGCGCGTTCGGCCCGAAATGTTGGGCACCGTTATGTGTACTGGAGGAGCTAACTGATATAATTGATATAGTTTTTAATTCGCATATATATATATATACATTTTTAACAAATCATTGAGGATTCGAGATCATATGAAGGATTTTAGATCGTAAGACTTGTATTTTATTTGTGTGAGATGTAGCACGCTGAGTCCGGTTCGGTACAACGTATGGAAGTAGAGGACGTAAAATTTGTTTACATAATAGTAATGAACACTTCCAGCATAATTTGAAGGATATGTTAGGGTACCACCAGTGTTTATTTCCCCAGTATTACACTCAGATATTTAATATTATGTGGCCATGTTATGCTTTGTCCGTCGAGTAAAAAAATACGTATTATATATACAAATCGTAATTATATGTAAATATAAAAATGTTATGTATTTTTGTTTGTTCGTACGAACGTTTTTAAATGTAATCGATTTAATGTCGTCAAAACATGATCATCTAGATACTAATCTATTGCCTAGATGTATCGTAAATATAACAGTTATAATAATAATAATGATGATAATAATGGCGACAGTATTTGAACATATAATTTTTTAGTAATTTAAAAAAAAAATATTATTACAATTTTTATAATGGTAACTTTTAGTGAAAAGATTTTTTTTTTTTTCTAAAAACAGGATACGGGAAATTGCACGGGTGCAAAAACTACAAACGCGCAAGTATGTTATAGGTTAATTAATAATCCGATTACTTTAGCCGACGGTTTTAAATCAACGGTCAGGTCGGCTGATAAATATTTTTCGAAACGAATTATGTATGACGCGTATACATAATGTGTATGTACATATCCGATACGATAATTATATACGAATATAATATTTATGCATGTATGTTTCGGATGATGCTAAATTATAAAAAAAACAGACGAATACCATTAAGAATAGTTTATAATAATATAATGTGTCGTCCATATCATTTCGAAACTGCGCAAAGTTTAATGGATCGTGTTCGTGCATCATTGTTATTTATTTATTAATATCGTTATCATACACATTTATTGTTTTGATCTTCCAATACATACCTGCGCATGGACCCAATATACACCCAATATTCATTATTTCGTCCGTGTACTCAATGAATGGAAACTGTTCACAATGTAAAATATATATACACGCGCGCACGTGAAAAAATAATAGAACAATTTGATTTGGTTTACATTACGGTTTATTAATTATTGCGGTTCGACCGACGGAATAACGCAAACGGTGTAACATATATAATAGTATTATGGTTGGTAAACGTTAGAACACTTTCAGGTATTGGATTTTGGATGTACAGGACCGACCGCAATTATTGTAACTGTCGGGGAAGAGTAAAAAGGAAAAGAGAAAAATATGATGATGGAAATCAATTGTTTCCGATTAATACGCCACCGTATTACTATACAACGTGTATTAATGTATGTATTGTTATGTATCCGAGTATTTTTATAGTAAAAATTTTATGTAATAAATCATTGGCCGTGAAATATACCTTAACGTTGTGTACACAATTATAAGGTTTCTACTTCGCTGTAGTCATAAATCGAAAACTCAATTTCAAACAAATTCTCCGAACGTCGACTAAAATGTTTAATTAAATGTTTACACTGTGTTACGGAAACTAGGAGAAGTAACGCGTAGTTCGACCGATCTGCGTACGTGGGTACAATAAGATATCAAACATAAAATTATCGAACTGAAGTAACTAAACTTGAGTCCTGTGCGACTATATACACAGTCTATTATCGTCTATCCGTGTCGCGATCGATTAGAAAAATCTATGATGTTAATTCGACTGTATTGAAATAATTACTTAAAGAAACCGACTAGGAAAAACTCTGAACGCTCAAATAGTTCAATATTATGTAACTTATTTTTAGTGGATGATTTTTCACTTCTGAGGACATACAACTACGATGATTCATTGTAACCTAACCAGCAGTCAACACGTAAGAAAAACGTGCTGTTTTATGTAAAACGAATGCAAACTATATATTGTACATCATAGTTAAAGATTG